GCCCCACCCCCGGGCCTAACCCAAGTGAGTCTAAGGATTATCTGGAATAATACATGTACAATATTATCAATGATATTTTGAAAATGAAATTTGCTAAATAACAAAACAGAGTTTTTGAAACTATTATCCAGTAAGATTCCAATTCTAAATAAGGTATAAAATTGTTTTCTTAATTTTGACTGCTACCATTTTCCCTCTTTTTTCCTTCTCTTTTAGAATTAATGCAGAGTATTTTTAAAATACATAGTTATTGAAAAGGGAAAAAAAAGAAAGGCAGTTAATTATAGACTGAGCCTAATAGAACCCATTACTCCTTCTCTCACACTTTTTCTATCATATCACATAATCACAATAATGAACTTTTCTTCTTTTGATCCTTTTTATCCACACCACTGTGGCAACAATTAAGATTGCCAAGAAAGCAAAAGCATATGTAATTAACCAATTTAGGAATGAACAAAAATTCAGTACTATTTGACAGAGACAGCGAAAACAAACAAACAAACAAAAAAAAAACCAAAAATTAAAATCTTGTTGTTCAAAAGAACTTACACAGGTTACTTATAGTGAATAATTAAGTTTTGTTTGTCTGTACCCCTGATATTGGATTTGTTATTAACCAAATTTAATTTTCTCAACATATCTGTGAGAGAGAAAAAAGATTCACATACATATGAACTGAGGCAAAGGACAGTCATGTGACTTGTTTGAAATTATACAATTAAGTCAGTGGCTGAACTGTAAACAGAACCAAGGATACCCAACTGCTAGTGTGCTGCTCTAACTAATGGATCATGCTCCCTGCTATGTAATAGGACTGTTTCCTTTAATTACAAATTCTTCATTCACCATCAGATTATCAGCCAGAGGCTTTATCATTAGTTTTGCTCTTCTTCATTCATGGCACCATTCCAAGAATATCAGATTTCCATGATAAAAAATATAAATACCACTGCTTATTGCATTAACCAGATCTGAAAATCCCAACTGCCTGTGGCAAGGATATTCCACCATATCTGTACCTAATAGCATATTTACAGGTAGAACTGCAATTTTAGCAGCCATTTTTGCTTGATCAATGATCTGGACAAAATGGATTTCATTTTTATTTAATCACATTATCAGTGCATTTATAATTTGACATTACCACATTCTATAATCTCATTAGTCAACACTATTAACATATATGACCTGAATGTAAAAATTCTAAAGGTAGCAGATTTTTAAGGATATACCTTAGGGGACATGTGATGTTAGGAAGTAGATGAAGATAAAAACCATGAGATGTTCTTACATTCTGTGCTAAAATCTATAAAAGAGAATTTACTGGGTAAACAAATAAAATAAATATCTTTAAAGAGGTATCTAGACACTTGTCTTTGAGAAGCACTTTGTGTTTCTTTGGCACATATCACAGTAGCAATAGTAGCAGCAGCCTTGCCCTTGGTGCTGATTTCTTACTACTCTAAATGTCTCCTCTGAGCCAGAATACACTGGCTGTTGCTGATCATGCTGTGAGACACCTGCACTGGCTACTAGGCTTGTCATGACGCACAAAACCCTACCATCTTCAGCTTGACATTGTGCAAGTTATAATTATTCATCCAAATGAATATGTCAGAGCAGCAGCAGCAGACCTCTCATCAGAGCAAAAGAAAAATACATCAAAACATTATCAACTCAGCAGGAAGACAGGGACCATAAGGAAAATTACCCATTTTTAATATGGATGCCACAAAGCCATGTCTATTATATTACAAAAAGAAAAGAAAATAAAGATCTTCCAAGTGTAAAGTCCAGAAACACTGAATCCAAAGAGAAAATGTACAAAAGCAGACAATGATTTTTAAAATCAATTATCTGAAGCCTATTTACAGTCTCTTAAATATAACTTTACTATTAGATTACAATGGTAACATTTATGCTACATAAAAACCACAACTGTTTAAAAATGGTTAAAACTGAAAATACCCACAAGAATTGTTTTCTGGTGAGTCAGTAAGCAAGGATAACACATAAGCAAAGTCATCTCATACTGCTTCTTACATTTAAATATATTTAACTAATATTGCCAACCTCATCATACTAAACAACTCAGAGTTCATACTGCTAATACCATTACCAAAATCCTTATGATGTTTAGCTAGCATCTAGACTCTCATTGATAAATATTTTTAAACATTCAAAATTTTAATATTATATGTAAAATAAAAACTAAAATTACTCCCATACCTGCACAAATGAAGAAGATATTTCTAAATTGTATATAAACATATAACATAGGCAAAGATAATTTCAGATTGCTATCTCATCTTTAAATAAATGTGAAAACTGTTAACTTTTAGAACAAATTATACATAGGAGTTTACCTTTTCAAAAAAAAAGATATGATTTTCTTGAGACAGAAAAGGCAGAAAACACAAGGATAAGCCTGATACATTTGACCACAATGAACGTTAAAATTCTGTATGATAAATATATCATATACAAAGTTAAAGATATGCCATAGAGAGAATATAATTTACATTCCACATAACCAACAAAGCATTGGGATTCAAAATAAATTAAGAATGCTCAGAATAAAAAAAAAAAATCTCAAGCAAAGACTATGAACATAATAATAATGATTATCAATTCTTGATAAAGAATTAAAGTCAGATTAACTAAGATCATAATAACACTTGGAAAAGATTTGGGAAAGTAAGATTATTATACATAGCTGAATAGCAGTAATCTCAGCGGTATATTCCCTATAATTCAGCATTTTCACTTCTAGGAATAATCCATACACAAAGTCTAACATATATGTACCAGGAAACATGTAAAAGTTTTCATTGTGGACTGCTAGTAAGAAACTGTGAATAACCTTATCAACAGGGCAATGGCTAAATTAACTGGTTGATGGACATAATGGAATGATATACAGCATTTTAAGATAAAAATGTATTAGGCACACAAAAATCATGGATAAGTCACTGAAACGATATCATATAAAAAAAAATCAAACCACAAATACAGTTTTAAAATGTAGTAAAAAGTCTGTAAGGATAGCATACACATCAATTCCAGAGAAAAGAGATAACTCGTTAGCAGAAAAGCAAATAGGAAAGAAAGGACTGAAAAAGTAATGGGGTCTGTGCTATTCCCAGAACTTTTTATTTATCAAAGGGGGGGGGGGGGAACTAGAGATATATCTGAAGCAAGTGTGAAAAACATTAATACCTGTGAAATTTAAATTATGGATAAAAAGCCACTGTAATTTTATCTGTATTTTGCTAACAATATCAGTGTATTTATAACTTCAGAAAAAAATGTATGATATTCCAGTTACTAATCAATTTTGTTTCCTTAGCACAACTGCAAAAAAATACTAATAACTATTAAATCAATACCTTGAGTATAAATTATTATTATTGTAGGCACCCCAAACTTATATATACAAGGCCCTGAACCAGTATTAAGTAAGGAAACAAAATCTAAAAGAAACTGCCCTCAAAGATATTCCACTCTAGCAGTCACAAACTAACTTTGATTTGATACAAACTTTTCCATAAAGTTTGTACAGTTATCTGCATTTTAAAACAACACTAAAAAACTCATCAAAACTATGTTCTTCAAATTTGGAACTGTGATAAACATTAATTTGTGATTTAAAGGTAATATCTAGAAAGAGTAATAAAATCTAGATATAATATTTTCTCATGATCTCACTGTCTTAAAACAGAAAGATAAAGCTTTCAGAACCAAATAGAAAACATGTATTTCAAAGTTATACAATCATGTATACATGATTCAATTTTGGAAAAAAATTTTAATAAATTATAACATACATCAAATACCCAAAGTAAATCAAAGGCTTCTTCTTCTCCTTTATTTTGCTGTTTCTCAATTTCCCCTGAGAGAAATAGGACTTATTTTTAAAGAAAAAAATGAGAACAGTAATTTTTTTGACAAATGTGTGTAATTAAAGTGATATTTGGACACTTGTAAGCCTATTTAAAACCTGTTAAATGTTGTTTAAACTTTAAAAATTTTTAAAACTAATTTCACTTATAATTACTTTTATGTATGTATAGTTTAAAATATATGTATCAACTTTTACTTGAACCTAATCAAATTTTGCTAACCAAAAAAATGGGTAGCTTCCATTCACAGAAAATTCATAAAATATCACTCTTCATTTTCTCTTTGCCTAAGAATACAAACATTTTCTCCTTTTTGCTATCAACTATCACAATTCACTTGGTGAGATAAGGCCAATGTCTATTAGACTATCCTGCTAACTTTAATAACCATATTCTGCCACTTATTTAAAAATCACACATGAAATTCTGTGAGTGTACTATTAATAATCCAAAGCACCTTGTGACTACATGTACATTTTACAACACACTTCTAAAACATCAGCTTGTTAGATATAACCAATGTACTGAGAAACTAAATTAACAGAAGCAGGAGAATCTTCTATTATCTTTACTTCAGTATGAATATATGAAAACATATAAAAAAGAAAATACATAATCTAAGTTCAAGGATAAACCAAGTCAAACATTTTAAAACCATGAAAACTGAGTACAAATAGCAAGGTTTTTATTTTTACTTTCCTATGATAAAGATTCTGATATAATATCATCAACATTAAAAATTTTAGCAATATAAAAACTTCCATTCACTTTTACACTTACTGCGTATTGTTTTCTACATGGTTCTTTAGGATTTAAACTAAAAAACAAAATGGATGTCAAGAGGGCTTCTGCATGTTCACTGAAAAATGAAACTTAAAGATCTAGAGGGTGAATAATGTGTGTGAGGTGTGTGCAGAGAAAGAAGGAAATAATGGACATTAACTATTAGAAAATATAACTAAAGCATTGTATAAGGCTTGTTTATAAAAGAATGCTCTAAGAAAACTGGAAAATAAATCACTTTAAAACCTATAATGGCTTCTTGACTTAAAAAAATATAGTTTTTAATTACTTAAAATAAATTTAAGAATTTACCTGTGGTGTCCAGGAAATAGAAAATGGAACAGGAAAATCCACAAAACAATCTGGTGATTCTGCGGGATACTAAGAAAAAGCATAAAATTTGGTCATTTCTGATTTTCTGGAAAAAATTGAATATACTAGGAAAAATATAACTGCAAATGCACTAAATATAAATATTTTTATTCTACTATTACAGTGATATGGAGAGTTCATTAACAGTCAACATATGTTCATGAGGTACAAAGTTTGGTGATTTAGTGTGCCACAACAGTCAATGTTAAGCAAAGAAAAATGAACTAAGTTAGTGTCAGGATAGCTGCTAATGTTATGATCTGAGGGTGAGTCACACTGAATCTCATTTTATCTTTAAAATACAGAATCAAAATAGTTGATATTTAATTCCTTCCAGTCTAAAATTTAAACTCAAATAGCTTCAGTAACATTTAAATAGTCAATGTGATAAAAGAACCAAGATATGCATAAGAATGACTACATAACTATCAATTTAAAAAAATGATTTTTCCGGGCTGGAGTTGTAGCTCAGTGATAGAGCAATTGCCTCACAAGTGTGAGGCACTAGGTTCGATCCCAGCACCACATAAAAACAAATAAAGGCACTGAGTCCATATACAACTAAAAGAAAATTTTTTTAAAAAAAATAAATTTTCCATATGAAAACAAGTATTTTTAGCAAGTAGATAAAAATCAGGTTTCTAAGTTGACAAAGACAAAAGATATTTTTTCTTAAAATTAATTTTTTATTAGAAAATCAAAGGATTATAATAAAATTCTATTCTGAAATCTTCAAAGTCACATAATTAAAAGCACTCATTTCTTTCCATTAAAACACTAAATTTACTAAAAGAAAATTCATTTTAGGGAAACTTTCATTTAACAAACTTAGTTAATTCAGATCTTTATGTTTTTTAGTATCTTATTATTGAGTATTTCACTGGAAAAGCCAAAGGGGATAAAAAATCATCACTATAATATTTAACAAACACCAACACAAAGCAGATGCTTACAAAAATTAACATTTTGATATAATGATCAGTAGGCTAAAAATAAACAGCATCTGCTGCGCATACACTTGTAATCTCAGCAGAGGTTGAGGCAGGAGATCTCAAGTTCAAAGTCAGCCTCAACAACTTATGAAAGGACCTAGAAAACCTAGCAATACCCTGTCTCAAAAAATAAACAGGGAGGGGGATGTGGCTCAATGGTTAAGCACCCCTTAACCTTAAGTGGTATCAATTCCCGGTACCAAAGAAAAAACAAAGAATAAACAAAAGTATACTATCTGGTTATATAAAACTAATAATACAGAGACACATAGAAAACCACCTAAAAATATTACAGTGCTTAAATTCTGTAAAATGAAAAATGATCAGGCTGAGATAAGGAAGTCTATTTCAAACAATTCAAAATATCACAAGGTGATATTATTATATCAGAACACAGTTGCTATAATCACTGGAAAAACAATGTGTACACAACATTAAAAAGTCATGAATGTCTCAAAGTAAATGCAGGTAGAGAGCTCAGGTCTCTCTGGTTCCACCTTTATTAACTAGCTAACATGACCTTGGAAGAGTTATTTAATTTCAATGACTGTTTCACAAGTAAAACTGATAAAACTCAACAGTATTACAAAATCTCATTTCTCTCTAAAATGTGATGATTCTTTTTTAAAAAATTATGCACACTTAAAATCTCCTTGGGTCAAAATGGAAAGTTTAGTTCTCCTTTGGGTTGCTGCTACTTCTTTCCCAGAGATGCTAATAATGAACAAGATCAACTCTCTAACATAAATAAATTGTCAATATACAATAAGAAGTTAATGAAATGTTTACTATATTCTAAGTAAATATATCTAGTAAAATATCTGTGGCCTTTGAAGTCATTGAGTACATACATTCATATCTCATTATGCTAAAAGAGAATAAAATCCTATATTCAAGTGAGACTCAGTACAGTAAATGGTACAAATGCACAGATATGGAAAAAGATCCACAAAGAGTTAAACAAAAAAGCAGGTTATAATAAATGTTATCCCAAATACAATAATGACTACTGTGTCATCTGTGAAAGGATAACATCTTTCAAATATATTTTATATTATACTTATGCAAAGATAATAACATGTATATAATAAACTGTAGTAATCTATATGTGGGTGGCTTTAATACATATCTATTAAAGTTGAATACAGGTATATTTTATATGTTAATTGTATTCACAAATTAAGAATGATTTTATTTACATAATAATCTTCACATAATTACATAAAACTTAAAAAGAGCAAATTTATGTGCATTTGGGGATTTATTATGAATTATTAAAATAGGAAATAACATCCTAGATATTCATTTTCAAAATAGTCTGAACTGCAGTAGTACTAAGTACAGTGTAGTGTATATATAATGTCACAAATCTGCTTGATCAAAATTAAGACAGTTTTTAAAAGTTATATAGATATATATAAAACCACCAGAAACTGTCAAAAATTTCCATTTTACAAGTTTGATAACAAATGCTCCAAAACAACAAATTTTAATTAAAAAATTAGTATTTAATTATTTTTAAGTAAAAATATGGGAGAAAGAAGGGAGATATGAGAAAGTAAAAGAGGGGAGACATGATCAAAGCACACTATATGCATGTATGGAAATGTCACAGTAGAACCGTTCATTTGTACAATTAATGTGTGTTAATTAAAAAAAGCTCTTCAAATCGCCCTTGAAGCAATCCAAATCAGTAATTATAAAAAATTATTCCACAATATTAAGTACATATAATATGTACTTATAGTCATGATATTTTTTATAGACTCTGTAATATATTATTCTAAGAAAAATCTTAACCAAATCAGTTCTGTTCAGACCATCTAAAAAACAAGGCTACCCCCTGCAAGTGAAACCATACATATTGCAACAAAGACAAAGTGCCCAGCTTCTGATACACATCTGTGATTTTTTTCCCCCCAAGTAGTTCTGATCTTGGCAGAAGCTGAGAAAGCTCTAAGATACATTTTTTGTACAGAAAAGATAACCCCATCCTATAGTACAGGATGCACTATAAGTACTACATAAATATGTCTAAAAACACACAAAAAAATCCTTATTTTACACCTTTTTAATTTACATATTTATTTTTAATAGGAATTGTCTAATTCAAATTAGTGTTCTTTTCTTTGTGGGTTCTTGGAGATGAGGAGTGACTGAATCACAAGAGAATGTGTTCAAGAAAAAATATATTTTAAATACATATATACATCAAATCAAAGAAATAAAGGTTGTGTAGTCAGAAAAATAATCCTGCTTTAAGGTTTGTTTCAAAAAAAGTTTTTAAAAATTGATTTTAAAAAATCTTAGTTTAAAACTTAGATTTTATGAAAACTTTGTCATGTATTCTGAACAAATAGTTTTTGCTATTCCTGTTTTTTAACTGTCAATTCCAGACCCAAATAGTCCTCAAAAAACAGAAATTACCACATAAAAAAGATAACTTTGGGGGCTGGGGTTGTGGTTCAGTGGTAGAGCACTGGCTTCGCATGTGTGAGGCACTGGGTTCAATCCTCAGCACCACATAAAATTAAAATGAAGATACTGGGTCCAACTACAACTAAAAATTTTTAAAAATAAAATAAAAAAAGATAACTTTGGCCTCTATAATGCTAAACTAAACAGGCAAATAATGAATCTAACAAATCACCACAATGTAGTATTGTCATCCTAACTTTTTTTAATAAACACTTTTTCCCCTAATATCTTCCTAGCTCCAAGTTTTCTCTTCTTTCTTGCTAGTAGAGCTTCACAACTATAAATGTTGCAAAACTAATCAAAACCACAACTAGAAATCATTTCACATAAACCAGGAAGGCTAAAATAAAAAGATATCCTTAAACAGTGTTAGTGAGGGCATGGAATAATTGGAGTCCCTGAATATGTCTGATGGAACTGTAAACTGGTGCATCTATTATATGAAAGATTTTATAAGTCCTCCAAAATGTTAAAAAAAATAGTCATCATATGACCCAGCAATTTCACTCCTAAGTATATAACCAAGAGAAATGAAAAATTTGAGCATACACCAAAACCTGTGCACAAATGTTCATAGAAACACTCTTCATAATAACCAAAATATGGGAACAAATGTTGCAACAAAAGAAGAATGGGGAAATGAAATATGGTGTATCTGTAAGGTGAATATTATTCGGCAATTAAAAAGGAATGAAGCCCTGTTACATATATGAACCTTAAAGACATTACTCTAAGAAAAAGGAGTAAAAGACTGTATACACAATTCCATTTATATGAAATGTCTGGAATAAGCAAATAAATAGGACCAGAAAGTATATTAGTGGTGTCCAAGAGCTGGGGAAGGGTTAATGAGAGTCTGTTTATGAATGTGAAACTCTTTCCTGGAATGATGGATATGTTCTAAAGTTAAGTAAGGGCAATTTTTGCACTGTTAATATACTAAAAACTAAAAACTAATAAAATGTACATTTGTTAAAAAGAAAAAAATGTTGCAAAACTGACACTGGAAAATATTTCCTGGAAAAATGTTAAAAGAATCACCTAATATACCTTAAAAAGATGTAAGAAAAAGCAGACAAAATGGACCATATAAGTGTCCTCAACATAGGATAAATATTTTTTATCACACAGAACCCCATTAATATGTACAATTAATACATTAATAAAAATAAATAAGGACAATCATAAAACCTTCAAAGCATAAAAGGCAGTGTATGTTTAAGGCATTATCTTCTTAGTAAGTATAAGAGTTTATAAAAATGAAGACGGGATATACTTAAAATCTTTAATTTTGGTCTTCATAGCAATAAGGGAACTTTTTATCAATGTACAAAATAAAAACAAAGTATTTTGCAGAATATGACAGAACCTTTGCCACTAGCAGTATGTGATCTTTTAAAAGGATAAAGGCAGATCTTAAAGCATACGTTGAAAAACTTAAAAGGAAAATAAAATTATTTTTATTTTAATGAAAATAACTATCTAATTTCTTTTACAAATAAGGTTTCTATCCCACTAATTTTGTTCGACACTTATATGGGTCTCAAAATTATATCTAAGCATTCTGTGTGTGAGAGGAAGAGAGAATGAGTCATTTCTCAAACTGTCTGATGTAGCACCACTATAAGATATCAACTTTTCTGTGTCATCCAGTACAGCTTTATATATTAATTTTCTCTTGTGGAAAGCTTAAATGCCAGACACATTTTTTAAAAAGGACAAACACAATTGATCTTTTCATCACTACAATCTTCCGAAATAGAATTGATTGATGACTACTGGGAACAATAAAAAAAAAGGTTGGATGTCCTGGTTTTCTTTAAATTCTAATGTTTTCCCAGTGATTACCAAGTAAATGATTAACATACTGATCTTGCTTATGCTACTTATTTCCTAAGATTCACAATCTAGGACTAAAAATAAAGACAAAAATGGAAAGATGTTTTGTGTCAATAAATTAGTGAATAGTTACAGATCACTAGCCTATAAGGACCCTACAAACACATAACCTTTGAAAATTCTTAATATATAAATGCCAAAAAGCTTTGGCCAAAGGAAATAAACAAACAATAAGAAATATGTATATAGGTATGTCTGTGTTGGGGGTTGGGACAAGTCAGTGACAAGAACTACAAAAGTAATTCTTAAGAATTGAGAGCAAAAGGCATTTTCAGAACTTTACTAGAGAGCATGTAAGAATCCAGTCTTTGTGGGATGCTACAAAAATAACACTATAGTACTTAGAGGCTACTGAATCTTATTTGTAATATTTCTCTATTATTAAGTCTATAAATTGATCAAATTTAAACTAAAATTTTGACATGAAATTATATCTAGGCTTTTGGAAACCTGGTGAATAAATTCTCTGATGCTTTCTCAAATCCACTTTTTAAAGCATTATTTATGTACATTAAAAATATTCAGAGTCTATTTCTCAAAATATTTCCTGACCACAGTAACAATTAGACAAGGCACATACCTTTGCTTTCAACTTGACAGTGATTAGATGTTCTCTACCAGAAGCATCTTCTGCTTTTAACTTGATGGTACTAAAGCAACTATCTACAGATACTAGTCTGGTAAGGAGAAAAAAGTAAAAATAATCAGACTGGGGTAAGTTCTGGAGGGGGATGGAGATTGTAGGATTGAAAAGAAAATATTTGTTATGTTACTATTAATCAATTATAAAAATTAATCCGAGGAATTTCTGTATGCCAACCCTTTCTGCTGCTATAGATTTACTGCCGTTAATACACCAGCCTAGTGCTTAATGCAGTCATAGATCTCCAGATTATTTACAATGTGTGTCAAGGCTCATGCTGTGGTCAGTGAGCACTATGTTTCGGTTTTCCATCACTGGAACCTTTAGCACACACAGCATGTTTCTGTCAGCCTCTACTTATGTACACATTAAACTTCCTGTCAAACTCTTTGATCCATTTCTGTAGTTTCATACAGCATGAGACATTTATGCTTCTTTTATTTGTTTTTCTCCTCAATGAACCTCTCTTTTATTATCAATTATGTTACTGTACAAAAATCTGGCTGATATTAGTTCATATACTCAAATTGATCCTCTAAGGAAAATGCTATATAAGCACATATACAACCTGGTCTCCTAACAGTAAATTTTCTTCTTGTACAATATATAGCTTCTGACACTTAACCTAGGCATGTATTCAAGATGACTAATATTTTAAACATATTACACAATCACAATTGTTTTTGCTTTAAGTTGCTCTAAATGCATGAATTTTCTACAATGGAAACCAATATCTTTTGAAATATATCATTCTGTAAAAATATGGTCCCTTGAGTAGCATAAGCTACTGCCAAAATGGTTCAAATTTAGCAGTATATTTACTAGTGAACAGGGCATGTGGATATTTTTTGACATTTTTACAATACTATTCTCTTGTAGAGATAAAAAGTAGCCTAAGAATATTGAACAATGTATCACCCAGACTGCTGGCAAGACCTATTAGAGTTCAGAAGTAGCATTAGCCTCCCAACTTAGGCGACATTTTATGACATCACTTTATGCCATTTAGTTACTGACCAAGTATAATTGTAAAATGGGTTAATTCCAATAAATGCTGGACAATAAAGATATAGAACACTATAACGAAAAAATAGATCTAGATATGAAAAAAAAAAAATATATATATATATATATATATAAACAATGATATAAAAAGTAAATCAAAAAAATCTAACAAGAAATAGAAGTTTCATCAAAATCTGTAAAAATAATTTAGGGTCTTAGGAAAAAAAAGCAAATATTATTCTAGGAAAAAATGTATATTTATGTAATAATATCAGTGACTATATGGTTAATTTTTTTCCAACTATATCTATAAATGCCTTCAACTGCCTACCTCCAAAAAATTTGAACATGAGCGCTTATCATGGTTTTACCATGACTAGGGTTGAGATACATGAGCATCTGACTCTGAATGCCTCTACAAAACAGATTCAAGTTGAGAAGAGCACATGCATTTATATTCTCCCTCTATTCACTAAAAAAAAAAAAAAAAAAAAAACATAAATGAAATTTTTTAAAGTATGAAATTCCAGTTACAAAAAGAACAAGAAAGATCATTAATTAAAGCAAATTTTTAACAACTTTTATGAGAACGTATAGTACTTAAAAGAACACTGGCTGACAAAACAGATTAGAAGAGAAAGAGGGCTCCAGGAGGGTGACAGCTGGCAAAAAGGCAAAATCTGTAGAACAGAGTATGATTGATACACACTGGCAGAGATTATGGGGATTTTTTTTAAATGAAAAAAGCAAAGAGGAAAGAGAAAACTTAAAACTAAATTATAAACAATAAAGTCCTTTAAAAGACTTTTGAAAGACTATAAATATTCTGTTATAAATTATTCAGTGAAAAATATTTATGTAATCATAAAAAATAAACTGCTTACTAATTATAATTTTTAGATTCCAGCAAGACAAAATGCTAAAAGACTTCATTATAGTTATAGAAACTAATGTAAATATACTTAACCATAACCATTGCTTTTTTTTTTTTTTTTTTTTTTGGCCAATATTGTTCCCCAGTATCTTTCCTGAACATTAGTATTTAAAGGAAAAGATTACAAAAAGTGGAACATAGAAAGGGGACCAATATCAGGAGGAAGGATAATCACAAAATCTGTAATTCCTAACTTGAGAGTCAAAAGATAAATCCTTGGGTTCAAAGGAAAGAGAAAAATAAATAATGAAAGGAGAGAGAAAGTGGTATATGAGCTAAATCCTTTTTTATTATCACAATCAGTATACGATTCCTAAAACTAGCAAATCAAGAAATAATACAGACATGTTATTTAGAAGGGTAGAAGTGTAAACATGATCAAAGTGTTTGTTTCAAAGAATAAGACTTGGAATCGGAAATGGATAGCAAAGACTGTTTGCATTTCAGTGTAAACGCTGAGAGAGCATGTGAGCGAGAAAGAGGGGTTTGGGTGAGACAAAAAAAAGGACAACTAAACAACCAACAAGTGTTTTCTGTACTTCATGGTGCTACTCATTAGCTGAATGTTCAAATCATTATTGAATATCTATGAAATCAGAAATAAGAGCTCTAGTCTTTTGTTTATAATCACAGCAATGTAAGAGTATCATTATTCCACAATTTCACAGAGGTAATACTTTAGAGAATAAAGTGACATGCTCAAAAATATTTCAGTCCAAATGGCCATGAAGTTACTTTTGTTAAAACTTTAAGAAGTACTAGAATTCAAATAAAGCAGTATGAAATGCTTATACTTTCATGTTAATCTCAGCACAAACAATTAAAATTAAGAAACATTCATAATTACCCATATGAATTCCTGGCTACTTTGTTGGGGGGCGGCGGGAATCTTACTGCAATTATGAACATCTTCAGTACATATGACCTAGACTGCCAATTTTCCTCTGATGCTTATTCTCACCTTCTTCCCTTTGGCAATGGAATCCCTGGCTCCCACCCTAACCCCACCTAAACCTTGATTTACCTGGGTACAATCCACCTAGCTAATGACTTGCTAGCTGCCCTTCCACATGGACATATAACTAAACTTTGGCCACAAGGTTACAAGCAGAAATAATATGTACCTCTTTTGGATCATTTATAACTAAAGTGCACCCTCCTCTCCCCCTTCATCTCATTCCCCTCCCATAGATTGAACTTGGACAGGCTAGTATGAAACAGCAAAGACCATGAAGACAGGAACAGTTTTGTTGGCAAAACTGGCCAACAGAACCCTCTGTGGTGTTCTGTTTGGACTGTCCAAAACAGTAGCCATTAGTCACAAGTAACTAATGGAAGACTTAAAATACAGCCAGTACAGTGATTTTTTTTACATTTAATTTTTAAAATTTTAAATTTAAATCTAAATGTCAATAGTCCTGTGTGGCTACAGGATACTGAACACCAGTATCCTGGTGTTCACAATGGATAGTGAAGAAATCAGTTTAAAAATTCCTGCATTCTTCAAGGACCTTCTGAAACAGAGCCACCAACCTATTTTTCCTACTTTTAACCATCTGCCTATATCTAATTTGTTAAATAAGAAACAAATAAAATTCCATTTTGTTTGAACTACTGAGAATCTGAGGTTTTCCTTGTCCTAGCAGATGAGCCTGTACCCTAACAAATAAAGCATAAAAAATTTATATCGATTCATGATAGGAAAAAGTATCCTGGTTTTGATAATGAAGGTAAAAAACAACCAACTGGGTGATAAATTCTCACAAACAATATCAAATCTGTCTTTCAAAGAAAGTCCACTTCAAATGTTCTGCCTTCCTCTTAAATTGGGTGTCTCAACTTAAACAATAGGGAATAATTTTTGTTCATTTAAATGAAATATAAGTAATTCATTTAAATAAATACATTTAGGGAAGTTTCATCAATGAAAAGCTTGAATTTTTTTAAAAGTTTATGTAAAATGCTAGAAAAATACCCACAAAAATCACGGTGAAAATTTATACTGAGAGGAGTTTAAGTATTATTTAGCTGGGCATATTATAACACTGACTAAGAAACTATAAATACAAAATGTAAGGAATAAAATATTTTTTTTTTTGGTCCTCCACTTTGTATTTATCATCTGCTACATTTCTTTATAAGTCTGTTTGCCATAAATAAAAGACACTAAATTTGAATTAACTTTTTTTAAAAAACATTTGCAAAGAATACTAATACTTAAAATTTCAGGGAGATTTTGCTATTCCTGAGGATGGTGGCCCTGTGAATAGCTGAATATATCAGTACAGACAGAAGAAATGTATTCTCTTGAAATTTTGACCAACAGCTTAAGTTATGTAGTTTTTCTTTCCTTAATCACCAAGGTACATTTAAGTAGTAATACCTTGATATCCTCAAACAGCAGTCTGAAGATAGCCATAATTTAATAAAGTATCAAAGATTTCATTTTTACCACCACTCTCAATGTAAGCTTTAATTGCTTTATTCCTTGATTACTCAAAACAACCTCCCTAATGGGTATGTTCTCTTTATTTCTACACAACAATTCATCCTGCCTTCTGTGTCTAGATTTAGCCTTCTTATATACCTCTTAAGTCAATTCAACCCCTTGCTCAAAAGCACTCATGGAGTCCCTATCACTTGCTTAAACAGAAACATTAGTCTAGCAGTCAATATCCTCCAGTCTAGCCCTAATATATTAATCCCCTTATGTGAGCAACCCCTCCACTCAAAGTCCCAAAATGAACTGCACACTTTCTTCACTATAACCTTGCCTCCACCATTCCCTCCTTTCAAGGTTACCCCAGTACTCATCTCCTCTAAGAACTTCTCAAATTTTTTGTAGACCCAAAGTATTTCACCTTTCTCTAAACTCACATCGGTTTTTTTTCATTTGAGTTTTAGGTTGCCAATCAAATAAGTTTTTTGGTAAGGAATATGAAAGTTTTCTATTTGTATATATATGCAATGCTATATGTGTACATGAACATGCAGAAGCTATTGTCAGACTGGTTCATTATTTACCAATTTATGTCAAAATTTTAAACAACAGATGAATATAAATAATGTTTAAATTAAATACTATAAACATATTA